ATTCCGCACCGCGCCCACATGCCCCTGTCTGTCACCAGCGCTTCTGCGCGTGTACCTGTCACACGCCCATGCAATCCTCCTACCGCCAACGCGCCCCTGCCGCTCGCCTATGTCGTGCCACCTGCACGCCCCCTGCCGCTTGCCCGTGTGCGCCCCACCATGCCAGCGCACCTAATTTATTTTTTGGTTTATTTTTAGCAAACCTTTTCAATTTTAGGCAAGATTTTCTATTTTAGGAAATTATCATTTTAATTTTTATCATTTTAATTTTGTTATTTCCTTGTAAAGGTCACGTGCCTTAGCCTATAAATAGGTGTGTTCCCCTTCTTTTCAAATCAGTTTTTGAATCAATAAAAATCGAGTTGAGTGTTTTCTCTCATTATCTTGTGCAAACACCCTCCCCCCAAATATCGATTTCCTTTGTGTTGTTGAACTTAGGATCTCATACTTTACTCCTTGGAGCATGCTTGTTGGATTGGTCATCAAACTCGTGGAGTGTTTCCGACCTCGAGTATAGTGAGTATTATGTCTGCTCAAGGTAACAACTGTAAAGGTAATCTATCTAACTCTTAGCCTTTCGGGTTGAACCACTTATACAATTGGATTCAAGTGGCTAGTGGCTCTCGAGTAGTCCAATGCGCTTGGGTTGTTGTGTATATCACTTCCTTTCTCTCCCCCTTCGTCTCTCTACTGTCCCTCATCTCATTTTTTTTGAAAATTTCAACCCGACAACACAACCTAACCCAACCTTTTTTTGAGTTAGGTTGGTTGGGTTGCAAAAGTCATTCGGGTAGTAGAGCCAACCAACCCAAATTTTCAGGTTGGTAAAAAAAACTCTATAACCGGACCCAACCCAACACATGAACACCATTAGTTTTTGTTCCTCTACTTTAAAAAAGTGACTAATTTGGTCATTATTTGAAAAAATTTTAACACAAATTCTATATACAATAAAAACCATCTAATATAAAGTCAGGACTATATTTAAAAAAATATTTTTAGTCCAGTGTCATGTTGAAATTATGGTCGAAAAAATGAGATAAAAAATAAAATGAAGGAACTAAACTGTCACCTATAATAATATGAGGATAGGATATTTTTAAAGTAGATAGAATAAAATGAGTTAAATTTTAAAATAGAGACCAAAATAATAGAGGTACTCAAATAAACCAAATCTAAAACTACAAGCATAAAAATAATATAGGATTTTGGGATGAAAAGCCCTTTTACCAAGGTAGTATTATTTTTTACCCACTTTTCTCAAAATCTATGTTTTCTAATCTTTGTTGACATTACTCTGGATACCAAATTACTTTCACTGCCCTCCACTCATTTTTTAGATTTCTCTATCTTATTCCATCTCTTTATCTCCCTCTCTATTTTTCTAGAATTTTTTCCCTCTCTCTTTTTTCCATAATTTGTTTAACCCATTCTTTGTTTGTTTTCTCTTCCTTATTTTTTTTTCTCTTTTTTCATTCTTCTCTCTTTCTCTCTTTCTCTCTTATACAACTATGGGTATTTTTCTTTCATTCTCTATAAAATTTTCTTCGAGTCTCTCTCTTTCTTCTTCTCTCTTTTTTTTAACTAAACCAGCAGCTTCCACG